ATGGACAGACAGGCAAACAGGCAGATGCTTCGTTTCACTCATTATCTTTCACTCTGTGGATATGCTTTGAATTTCTTATTATAACAGCGCTATCTATCATCTTTATACGTCAACTACATGGAAATCACTAACGCCATCTAGTGATATTATTTCCAAAGACATATACACATAATGCCATTTAGTAAGCAATTTGTAAAACTAATTAGAAGTGGCTACTACTACAACATACTACTACTACGACGGGACAACCCACATCCGAAGGAGCTTCGCCCCTAAAACAAGCTGTGCATGCATTTTGAACCTAATACCGTAATTACTCGAATCTAACGCGCACCTTTTTTCCGGTTAAGCAAGTTCATAAATCGCATGCGCGTTAGAATCGAGTACGAACAAAAAAATTACGGTCAATCTATTGCCATCGGCAAATCCAAAATGGCCGCCCCCTACGTGCGTCGGCATGGCGCGTCGGCTATTTCTGCCTGTGTGTTTCCCATGTGCGGCACTTCGTACGTGTGCTGAGGAGTTCGTCATCTAGTAGTGCATTAGCATCGACGGCGTGGAAGGGCCGACTCCAAAAACTCGAGTGCACCACGATGCCGCTTTTAAAAGAAAAGTCATCGCGTGTGCAGAAACGGATGGAAATCGGGCCGCATCGCGGTCGTTCGGAGTTCCCGAAACGTGCGTGCGGGACCGGTGAAAACAAAAGTAGAAGATTGTCGACAGCAAAGCTTCACACAAAGGCTTCAGTGGACCACAGCAGGGTCGGTTTCCGCAAATTAAAGAGCTGCTCGGCGAGTATGTGCTTGAGCAGCGAGCGGCACAGCGGCCCGTGACGACAGAACTGCTTCAAGTGCGGGCTATGCAATCAGTCTTAGAAAAAGGTCTAATGCGAAGCCAGTTTAAAGCGAGCAGGTGCTGGCTAACTAACTTTATGAAGAGGAAAGGCTTTTCCCTCCAAAGGGGAACATGCACATGCGAAAATTTTTGTGGAGGAGTACGATGAAAAGCTTCACAGTTTTCAGAGGTTCGTCCTAAACTTGCGGCGCAACAACGGCTACCTGCTTGGGCAAATCGGGAATGCCGATCAGACGCCTCTTTACTTCGACATGCCTGGCACCACAACCGTCGAAAAGAAAGGGGCGAAGCAAGTTTGCGCGCTGACATCGGGCCACGGTAAAAATAGAGTGACAGCAATGCTTCGTTGCACGTCAGATAGACCCAAGCTTCCCCCGTACCTCATATTTAAACGGAAGACGCTCCCGAAAGGAGCCGTTTTTTCGAGTGGTGTGATAGTGCGGGCCAGCGAGAAAAATGGGTGCGCGTTGCAATCGATGTCTTACTTTTTTTTTTTTTTTTTCGCGGTGGAAATCGGGTGCGCGTTACAATCGAGGGCGCGGTAGAATCGAGTAAATACGGTACTTGATTCTTTTTGGTCAGATTGAAGCCAACCAATTACAGGGTGAATGAATATTTAATTAAGTGCTAATTAACATGGATCACTGAAAATCACACAAAACGCCATATTCCTTCGTTTTCTTTCCTGGAATGTAATATTGAGTGCCTTGAAATTCTGTCATGTCAATTTGACGCATTTGCAGACGGGGCATCATAATTCACACCCAAAGGAGTCATGTCCTCCACTAACTCCTGCACCTGAAACGCTGTCCTGCCAGGGGTGCTGCCAACTACAGAAAAAATTCCGGGAACTTTCGGAACCAACCCTGTGTATGCATACATGAGCATATATGAAACATGAAGGCAATGGAGATGGCAAAAACCAGCCCAGAATGTTCATATAATTGCTATCGCAATCAAATGTTTTTTTTATTTACTGTGAAAGCTTTCATGACATCACAACAAGGGTATATTCTGGGGCCGTATGAAATAAGAAAAAAAAAAAGAAAGCTAAATAAAAAAAAAAACACCCAGAAGTGAATGGGAATCGAACCTGGGTCGTCTGCGTGGCAGCGGAGTACTCTACCACAGAAATATGCGGGCATTCGAAACTCTGTTGCAAACTTGCAGGCTTCATGTCGGGTAAGGAATCACGTCTACTTACGTAATAAAGTGTATCAGAACGGTAAAGAGACAATGAGGCGTCACACACTGTGGATTGTGTTAAGAGTGGGTCTTTGAATGCTCCTAGGCTTTGCAAAAGCCTCAGGCATAATTCATCGTCGTCAGCCACAGCATCAACTAAGTGCACATAATGAATGCCTTACAGGCATGTAGCGGGTACGATGCTTTTCCAGAAAATGAAAAATAATGGCATAGTAGACCATTCCCCACTACAAAAAAATTCTTATTTATGGCGTAGTGAGTACCACACAAGTGTACTCGTATCATGCAGGTGTGCATGCGTAGTTGTTGCTACGAGACGTGTTAAAAAAGGATCTAAAAAGGCTGCTGCTCCAGCTTTTGCTGTGGCGGTGCTGCACATACTGCGCAGGCCTAGCGGTTTTCTTTCTTTTTTTTTAAGGGGTATTGACAAACAATTTCGCGGCTGAGATAGCCTGCGAGATAAATTCCCATGAACGAACTTATGTATATCATCTGCAAAATGTCAAAAGCGGATATAGCTCAGAAAATATTTTAAATTAATTTGGAAGTTTGCGTAAGCGCGCGACTTTATTGTGCCATTGACACCCTCAAAGGAGACTTTTTGGGGACCTGCTACTTTCCTCACGTAGGCACGCTGCAGTCAATAAAACAAGTTACGAAGACGTCACAGCCACCATTTTTCTTGTGCCGCGTTTGTTCCCGCAGTCTATACTTCTTGGCAGCTGGTTGTGAGTGCGTCGTCGTGGAGCACGCTTTCAAAGTTTTGTGTTTATCGAAACTACAGTCCCGTTTCATATTCGAAAGTAATTCTTGATGAGGACCATGCGAAGTGTGCCACAGTTCTGTGTGCTGACGTGGTCGAGAGCTGCACTCACTGGGCACGGATAGCTGCACCTGGCGGCTTCTCGTTTTTGGAGCTCACTGAAACTGAAACTGGTCAATAATAAGAGACCTGTAATTAATTATTCGTTTCATGCTGCAGAAAACGATGTCTTGTTGTGACTAACAGGCCCCCAGCAATAAATTGCAGTAAAAAAATACATGAGGCCAAAGTTTTTGTGTCAGTAACCCTTTAACTCTTTCGTTATCGCGCGAGAATGGTTGTCTTTCATATGTCTTGAGAAGATCGTTCTTGCCAGTTTGAAAAGTACTCCAGCATGCATAGCAGCATACCAAACTTTGCAGAATGAAATGCTTTTTTCCATAAAAATATAGGTTGCAGAGCAACAAAAATATTTTAGAATTAATAAAAATGAGAACAGTGTGAAATTTTTCATCACCAGCTAGTAAACAGTGGAATAAAAAACACTATACATGCAAAAATATTCAAAACAAAGAAAAATCTGAATGTACATTGTACAGATAAATGGCCCAGGAACACTATAAAAATAATTAATGTTGTACAAAATGTTTCTCTTCATATAGACAAAGAAAATCAAAACCGAGGTGCTGCTTCATTGCTCATGCCACGCGGTGAAGCATTGCATGACTTTTTTTCGTAAGACACATGTGTACTCGTACACTCTTCTCAGTAAATTTTCGTTGCCTTGCGATAAGAGTCTTTAGGTATTCCAATACAGATGAATACCCGTGATATGAATAATGCCTCTATAAATGAGATGTCCAATGAACTTTTCTATTTCATCTAGCGTCGCCTCTTTCCATGAGCCACCTCTCTCCACATAGGTTGAAGTTTCAATAAATGCATCCAGGCATATTGCTTTGCATCTTTGAGCATATCGTATTAAATAAAAACGGACAATATCGCGTGCAGTTCTAAAATGTTTCGCATTGCTCCATAGTCAGGGCCAAGATGTGCTCCGGGGGCCTTCTTGCCGTTAGGAGCTCTGCAGCCAGCACCACCACATCACGCCCTAGCGATGTGTGGACCACGCACGTTACCCGAGTAACTATAAGATTATGCACAAAGGTCAGAAGCTATATGCACTTGCGGCGGAGGAGATAACTTGAAGGTGTAAACAAAACAAACCCATGAAGACTACGAATGTCTCAGGCTGACGCAAAACATTGTCGCCATAAAACTTGAAGCGTAGGTGCTGTCATCCACGAAATCACAGCTAGTTCTCACTCAATTCAGGAGAGGTCGCAAGACATTCAAGTAACGCATGCGTTTTGCAGTGCTGATGTGCACCCATGTGCGCGTGACGACAGCGTAACAAGCTAGTGACACTAGATGTGAGCCTGTGTCTGATATAACAATACAAGCAAAACCAAAGCGGATGGAAACTGGCTGTGACAGCCACCTGCACACTTTATAAATGAGGTGGACCTTAAAAAATAATTTTTGTCGAATTAATTTTTCCTGAATTTTAGCAACAGCTCTCTATTGATTAGCTGGCATAAATTTCCGACAATTATTACTGCTCAACTCGGACTAATCGCAAAACTAACACATCAATTAGATATTTGGCTTACAAAGTTTCTTTTCATTACAGAACTTCGAAGTTACCATAGCATAATCACGAGGGGCACGCACTTCTGTCAAGTGGGCCAACCTAGTGCATTTTTTTCAACTACACACGCACATTGGTTCGCGCAAAAGTCTGTAAAAAAGTCGCTATGTTGCCTATGTCGGCAAATTCAAAAACGTTATGAAAGTTGAGTGGCTGAACTAACTACTAAAAAGTGCTAGGTGCACAAGAAAAAAATTTAACATGCCAAAATTGATGGCGGAAGAGCGTCGATCACTGGTGATCGATTTGAATAGGCATAGTAACGAAAGAGTTAAGTTGGTCTGATGCCTAGTCTACTTTTATTAAGTGTATCATTAAATGCATCACACCACAGGAAAAAAAAAAAGTCAGCGTAAATTCACAGCCCAGTTCTCTGCCTCTTGAACCAGAATGTCCTTGTGTTTCTCCTTACTTATTACTTTTGTGTTTTCCCTCTAGTCCACCAGTACTTGAGATGAAGCTTACCTGCAAAATGTTCTGTGTGCAAGGCAGAAAGGCATCTCGGTTTCCATCCTGTGCACATGCTAGCAACTTGTGGATGCATCGTGTGATGTGCTCTGTCTGAGCCAGCACCTCCTGGTACGTGGGCAGAGAACTGCACACAAAGAGCGGCATCAGCCCACTTGACCAAGGTGACTACAAATTTCTCCACACAACAGTTGGCGATTCCCTCAAATCAAACTTCATTCCTGGCAACAACTGTGTAGAGAAAAAACAATTGACACCAACCAAGAGAACATCGGGATGCTAGGATTGGCATGTGTGCAGTGGCCAGCTAAAACAAGCAGATTTATGCGCAATGTATAAACTACCACGATAAGCTCATCACACGCTTCCTACAAAGTACATATTGTTCTGGTAATGACATGTACTGTCCTTACTCGCATAACCTTCACACTTTTTTTGCAGAAAACCGATGATATATTAGGGGGTGCGAAAATTACACGTAGAAAACTTTTCGTGAAAACGTACAAACAGAAAAAAAGAAACTCAACGGCTGTGAATTAAGGTTCTCATGCTAGCAACGAACTACGAGCGTTGAAAAGTACTAATGAAGACTTACTTTACCAATAAAACCACATGCCCAACACGAGACAAGATTTATTTGAGCTGCAAGCAAATAATAGTTTCTGTCACTATGTACACGTCGGTACATGCACAGTGGTTGTGCACCTCTAGTAAATGTCATTGACTTACGATGCCTGCCACCAGCTCGTCCTTCCTTGTGAACTAGTTTCTTTTACATGCTCGTATTTCACTGGATTGTACACTCAGAAACAGGATACCACAATGAGGGACACCGCAGTGAAATGCTCCAAAAGTTCTTCTGACCCTCTGGTGTTCTTCAATGCTTACGAACATTGCACAGTACTCTGGCATTTCGCCTCCATCGAAATGTAACCGTCATGGTGGGAGCAAACATCGGATTAACACACTCTCCTACTGATTAGATAAAAGTGACCACACTCTTTTGTATATATACCAATTAGCTCAAGAACAAGTTTTAGTAACCTTCTTTAACATTTTTCTGGACTGAGTCATCAAGCATTTCTTTTTTAATTTTTCACCATCATTACTGAAGAGTTAGATGTCACCTACAAACTAACTTGCTCACTTACTATCAAACATCCTCTCAATTTAATTGTTAGAAGTACTTCACATGCAGAGAATAAAAGTATGGATCTCCTCTTCATTTAGATTTTCGTGCTTTTCTTTTGGAAAGGCAGCTGCAGAACCTCTGTGGATGTTGGCTATGGCACATGTTTCAAGCACTCCTTGCAAACGAATTGCGTGCATTTAAAAACTACACAACATGAGTGAAAGAAAAAAAAAAGCTCAAGGACGCACACTGTAAGAGTACTAAATAAAAGAGCCAATGAAGTCAATTTTCTGTAAACGAGGAAGTTTCCACTGAGGAGAAAGCAATGAAGGGCATGGTGCATTGACGATTGAAGGAACGAGGTGAGCAGAAATCGAATGGAGCCGACAAATTTCACAAATTCCAGTCCAAGATGCCTGCTGCCTGCAGACAGAGAACAGCAGTCGAGCTCGAGTCTGGCACGCCAATGCGGCTCATCGTGGATTTCACGTATTCGCCTCTCTGCCAACTTTCAAGTTATTTTCACTGTGTGCTCCACTGCTTGGAAGTGGCCCCACATTCATCCATAACTCTCAGGACTTCATTGACAAGGTGCGCCATCTGACTGTAGATGATGATAAAATCATAGTGTCGTACAACATCGTTTCCCTTTTTACCTATGTTCCTGTGCCACTCGCTGTAAGCGCCCGTGAAGCTGCCCGTGAAGCCCGTGCAGGCTGATGAGAAACTGGGTGAACACAATGTGTTTGAAGTGCAGGATCTCGTAAGACTACTGGATTTCTGTTTGAAGAATACCTACTTTATTTTTTGTGGTGTCACTTACAAGCAGCTGCATGGAGCCCCTATGGCTGCTTCTATCTCCGCAACTGCAGCAAACCTGGCTATGGAGTCAGTGGAAAGACGGCCTCTGGCTTCCTCTGAAAGTATTCTTCTGATACGTTGAAATTGTTTTTGCATCATAAAAAAAAAACGTCTGGCTGCATTCACAACCATACGAATAGCATTGTGGAAGCTGTAAGATTCATCATGGAAGAGGAGAGCACTGGACGTCTAGCTCTTCTTGACATAGTAGTGCAGCGGGATGAACTGCATCTGTCGTTCAAAGTTCATGGGAAAGACACACATAATGGGCGTTATCTTCATTTTGCGTCTGTCAACCCTGTAAGCCACAAAACTGTCTGTGGCCTTTTCTTAAACAAAAATGGCCCAAAGAATTTGCAGCAAGCCAGAAGACTCCGACTTAGCGTGCATCCGGTGTGAACTCAGTCCCGGGCAAGTATCCCAAGAGTTCTATTGCTTCATTCAAGCAACAAGCCTTGCGCCCGACTGAGCCATGCAATGCCCTCAACCAGCGTCACTCCTCCATTCCGTACGTTCCTGGCATCAGCGAAGCTTTGGCACGTGCTTTGCATGAATATAATGTGCAAGTCGCCCACTTTCTGAGCCACAAGCTACATCACGAACTTCTCAGTGTCAAGGACAAACTAAAAAAGAAAAAGTTCCCGGGCATTGTATAAAAGATTCCTTGCGCTACCTAACTGCAATTATGTCTACATGAGTGAAGGTGGAAATTTCGACTGACATCTAAATGACTACATTAGAAATTAAAAAAGTCATTGCCAGTGCCCTCGCAGAGCATGCAGATAATACACACCATAGCTTCGACAAGGACCAGGCTTCAGTAATCACACGGAAAAAGAAGTGGATAAAACAGCATTATCTAGAATCTTTGGCGGTACAGACAACAGAGAACATGCTTAACCACAACGTATGCAAGATGCCTCAAGCGATTATTTTAGCGAATTTAAGCTGGAGGCTTTGGCCTCCCAGCACTTCCACGTGGAAGCTGAAATATATTTTTATTGTATTTTTTACACCCTCTTGGTCCGTGTCCTGTCTTTTTCATAAAATCTCCTCCGTCTTTGACCAGATTGGTTGTGATGGTGTTTTTTTTTTTTTTTCTCCCCAAAGGACATGCCTTGCAGGGCCTTGCCAACTTCTCCGATAGTTATGCCTGAAGCTTAGGTGTTATGTTTGGCTTTACTAACAGAAAGGCCAGTACAGAGCGGAGGAGCAGAAGTCACTCTATCGTAAAGTTCTTAGCACTGTCCTGCTTACACTTTTCCTGCTGATTGTAAAAGGGGTCTCTTTAAAAGATGTGATGACAGCCTGGGTTCAGGCTGCTGTGTTGTGCGCATGTGTCTGTCAGCACCATTGGTGGCGCATCTTGGCATACTCAAGAACAAGAGCATCTCTCCGTGATGCTGCTTCTGAGGACTTTTGATTTGGAGCAATCCTTGTAGCAGCTTAGTATTTCTCACTCTAGAGCACATTTGAGATGCAAGTTGTATTTACATTTAGACCGCTCAATACTTATTAATGACGAGGCTCTTACAAAGACCTCAATAAGTATCTCAATTCATAGAAAAAATGTTCTACAGGGCACCAATTATTCCACCTGACATTGCGAAAATAGGGGCAATACTTATAGTTGGATATTGTAGCATGGCCTTCCAGATATTTCCTGGCACAAGCAAGTAAACAAGATACAGGATCAATAAAATTTATATAATGAAATAGCACTAGGTATAAAAATCCCAGTCATCAAAATGCAAAGCTCCTGCCACACATATATTGCGTTGATATTAATAACATGTGCAGTGGCGAAAATACCTTCCAGCATTTAGAGCAGCCATTCCAGAAAACAAAATCTGCTTTTGGAGCAGCTACCTATGCGTTAGGAGCACAGACAAGTTTTCTATGACACACACATAGGAAGCAAATTTGGCTTTTATTTATTTTAATGCACCTCAGTCATGAACCATTGAACGCGTTCTTCGATGATAGGTTCTGATGCAGTCGAGCTCACATATAACGGCCCCACTTAAAACGAACTTTCGTTTAAAACGAACAATATTTACGTGACTGTGAAAATATACATTGGTTCAAATGCACCAAATCGCACTTACAACGAATGTCTCTGAGCGCTGCTGATCTGTTACAGCGAACAGAGTCAGCGGTCTGCCGACTTCTCGGGAAACTGATTTTGACCCCCGATCAGGCATCGGCGAGGTGCCCATACATTCTTATTGTTGAACGCCGACCCTGCCTTCGCGCCCCTCTAGTTGCCCCTCTCCCCGACCGCTTTTGTTACGCACCCCTTTGTACTTTGTCCCCCGCTACTCTAAGCACCACGAATCGCCAGACGAGGCTCGTGTTTTTACACTGCCACCAATCTTTCGAAGACCGGTCTGCCATCTACCCCAATTTTGATCGCTGGTACTGTCGTTGACGTCGCCGGCCTAGAGTGACCAGTCTATTTGCATACATCGTCGGCCGCCGACTGTATCAGATAGTCTGCATCTAGTGCACACGCGTACGCTACCCCACCAACTTTGATAATTTGCGATTCGTTTTGTTTTTAGAACTTGTTATCGCTCACTTCGCAATCAACTCAGCATGCCTTGCGCGCGCGTGCAGAAGCGCGAGAACGGCTGTTAATTTGCGCAGAACGAATCGCGAAATATTGAAGTTCATGAGGCCACGCAAACCTGCCAACACAACAAAACAATTTTTTGACCACAGCCGCCGATTCTTCGAACACAGCCACGTGCACCAATTCAGGTGGCCATGCACTCTTTCCAAGTCTTTCAACGTGCGAAATTCACGGACCTTTCAAGCAAGCTATCCAACCTGCCTCCTTCCCGTGTGTTTTGGTTTTCAAGGTCGCCCTCTGGCCGCATCCTCCCTTTATCGCAACTCCTTGCCCTTTTCTCGCAAGCCTGCTCTCCTATCTTGATCACAACCCCTTCGTTCGTCTCAACCGCTTCGCGACGTCCGCCACGCAGGCTCGAATTAGCTTCGTTTTCTGACTGAAAACGGGCCCAGAGCTGCTCCACGCGTTCTAACATGTGTGTCGCGTGTGCGCGTCTTGCTCCCTCTTGGTGTGCGTGTGTGGTCATGATGGCCAATGAGAGGACTAGCACGCTTTTTCC